ACGTCCAAACAGAACAATAAACCAGTCCGGTAATCGGTTCAGCACCACCAATACAGACATTACAATCGGTCTGACTGTAGTTCACACACTCTAACCATCCAACGTCCAAACAAATAACTATATAATCAAGGCATGAGCCCTACGCACCATCGGCCAAAGAAGACTGAGACAAACTGAAACAAAAAACACACCTGTTCAGCACTTGTACGAAGGTGCTAATCTGAACTTGACTTCACAGCATTGAACAGAGGAGTCTGCACCAGCATCACCCTTCTCCTAGGGTTTTCTTGCTATTACGGCCAAGAAAAAAATCACAAAAGCTGCCGCCAGAAACTGCTAGGGTTTCCCCAAAAAAACTGCCGCAAGAAACTGCTAGGGTTTTTGCAGAAACAGCCGCCAGAAACTGCTAGGGTTTCTGCAGAAACAGCCGCCAGAAACCTGCTAGGGTTTCTGCAGAAACAGCCACGTCCAAACACTTTTTAAGAATAGGGCAGGAGGGATCAATCGTAGGTCTTTTTCAACCCAGAAAACCTTCTCTGATACCATGTGGTGATTTGTGGGGATTGGGAGAGAGAGAGAGAGAGAGAGAGAGATGAAGAGATACCTGAACCTGCTTCTCCTCTTCCACACTACGACTGCATGGAACAACCAAAAGGTTGAAAAGCCTTTTGATTTATGTCTGAGAAAGTAAATCCAAGTGTACTTGGTACAATCATCAATAATTAGTACAAAATACTTGTATCCCAATCGTGAAATAACAGATGAAGTCCATACATCACTATGTATAACCTCAAAAGGAGAGGTAGCATGTTCAACTGTGTGAGAGAAGGGAAGGTACGACTTTTACTCAAACAACAAGTATTACAAGATGTATCAAAAGTCTGTAAAGAGGGAACTTTATTTCTAATAAAACCAGAGCCAAACAAAAATTTAAGTTTTTTCAGAATTGGGGTGACCCAAGCATTTATGCCAAATATCCTGAACATCATTTCTTTGACCCAAAACTGGAATAAATGAAGAACTGAAATAAGTAGATGATTATTTTGCTGCATGAGATTTCTCGAACTCTAGTGCAAACACGTGGCCCAGCCTACACCCCTTCCCTTTTACTTTCCCAGTGGTCCTGAATCAAACAACCTAAGAAGAAAAGTCAAAATGTGACCTTCATCAACAAGTTGACCAATTGAAACAAGGTTAGTATTATGATTGGGAACAAAGATGGTCTTAGTAAGGGAAAAGGAAGTTGAGAGTGAGTGCTTAAGGCATAAGTTATTACTCCAAATGATGTTCAATTTCTCACCATTGGCAGCAACAATGTATTTATGGAGGGTCTTGGAAAATTTTCTTGAGGGTTCAGGGTAGGCACCAATCATATGATTGGTTGCTCTAGAATCAATAGCGGAAACTGTAGATGAGATAGCAGAGGGTTCCGGTTGTCGTATCTTTTCCTCATCCACGGAAGCAGAAGATTCACCCTTAGGAGCAGATGTATTGGTAGTTTGTTCCTTAGTCACTTGATATGCTCGTGGCTGATTCTTCTTCATAGTTCCTTTGGATGGCCAAATAGGGCAATCTGGAATAATATGACCATGCTGTTTATAATAGGTGCAGACATTCTTCTTCTTACAATGAGATGTAATGTGTCCAAACCCATACATTCATAACACTGGTTTTAGAGTACTTGACAAAAGAGTTTGTACTACGTTGCACAACAAAGACTGTATCAGCCTTGGAATCAATCAATTTTCCATCTATGTCTGTGGCAGTCACAAGTGTTGTCTCTTCCTGTAGTAATTCTCCCATCACGGAATCCAAGTTTGGAAGGGTGCCTCTACTCAAAATATTAAAACCTTATTATGTCATATTCTGGTCAAAGTCTCTTAAGGACTGGTCCACTTTTCTCTTTTCAAAGTATTTTTGAAGATACTTAACACACTTCAATGAGTTCGACGGATCAATATGAACCAATTCATACTCTGCCCACAGGTCAAAGAACCTTGCATTGTATTCTTGTACCTTTTTATCCCCCTGACAGTAAGCAAAAATCTCAGATTCAATTTGATATTATCTTGATAAATTAGGCTGAGGGTAAACCTTCAAGTAGGTATACATCTCAAAGGCTGTTCGCATTCTTCTCATGGGGATGGCGATATGGGAACAATTGAACTCAGGATCCAGGAAACTAGTTTTCCATTGTCCAGCTTCCATTGTGAAAAGGCCTTGATAACTGTTTCATCTGGTTTAATAACTGTCTCATTGAGATAACCATCTAGACACCAAAAAGAACAAGAAGAAAGAAGATGGAAGAATAGGGTGTGTCTTACTTTCTTCACATGGACCATGTTAATGGTATTTATATGCTAATAAGATTTTACATAAATGTCCTTAATTTGGTGCCTCCTTGCTAGCTTAACTACAATGTCATAAACACCTTTGCTAACAATAAAACAGCTTTCAATAGTCATCTTTGCTATGATTTAGTTCCCCATTTTTTGTTATAATCTGTCAGAATTGCTCTATCAATGAATCCTTTAATCTAGACTATTTCTCTCTCTCATGTTTAAGGAAACAATCGCCTTAGTCTCACTAATTTAGGGAGTCACATGCTATTTTTTTTAACTGACTCTTTTGTAAGCAGTTGATTACAGTACAATGCTATTGATATTTGTAAATATGTATTGTATCAAAAAAAGATATTTGTAAATATGTATGGGGAGGTCTTGGGTAGAACTGTAATGTGGTTTGTGCCATTCTGGCATGTCCCACTTTTGCAAATTAGAGAACAAAGTGAAAAGAAAAAACTAAAAATTTTATTTCATGTGAATTTAATGTATACAATTGATTTGATCTATTGTGTGTGTGTGTACGTGTGGGCCAGCACAAACCAATTATACAGGCCCTGCCTTGCGGGTCCATGGGTGGCATGACCGACTTTATAGCATGGTTTTCAAAACCAGACTGGACGGTCGGACCAGAAAAACTTGGAACCAGTCAGGTGATCGGTTTTGGTTTCCCCAAAACCGGATTTTCTTCAAAAACCGTTGATTTTGGTCAGCAAACCTCTGACCTGGGCAGTTAACCGTTCGAACCGTTCAAACGGTTTTGACTGTTTTGTTTGTTTTTTTTTACTTTTTTAATTTTTTTGTCAGAATGGGCTGACTGTTCGGTTTGAATGGTCGGACCATTCAACCCGGTAACTGGACCCCTTACCGGTTTGGTCTCCGAGTCGGTTTTAAAACCATGCTTTATAGCTATAGTCTTGGGCCAGCACAGCCCAATTATACAGGCCCTGCCTTGCTGGCCCATGGGTGGCATGGCCCACTTTATAGCTATCAGTCTTGGGTACTGTTTTGATGTGTGAACAAATACATTTAATTTTACTAAAAAAGTGAAGTGACCTAATTTGACTGCAATCTAAGATGGTTTGGCAGGAAGTATGGGAAATCTTGAAATTATTAACTATTAGAAAGTAGTGTTTTAATGTTAATTTTTAAAGCTATTTTGTTATGACAGAAAGGACATAAAATTTGGGGATGGCTGAATTAAACATGGGCTTCATGAGTATGTTGATTTACTGAGAGAATTTTTTATCTCTAGAGAAAGACTGTAAGAATTGAAAGAAGTTTAAAGAAGACTTAACTGGGATCAATACTGTCCCGTGTTTGATGTTGTTTCGATTGTCTTTTCCCAGGTTTTTGTTGTTTATTTGTGGCTGAGCTCAAAAAGATAGCATGAGAGGGCAAGAGAGTAGTGGGAGAAAGGCGAAAAATTGGGGAGTCACCTTTATGGTTAATAGAATCACTCAACGGCTTTTATTATCATTTTCCAAAAGTAACAAATAGTAGAAATAAGCTCCAAATTTTCTTTGCCCTGTTTTTGCCAAATTTTCACATTTCCTAACTGAAAAAAATCAATATTACTTTTGTTTTTATATCTTTTGAAGGGCTACACAACAGGGGGTAGCCCATCCCCCATCCCATAACCCCCCAACTCAGGTGCAGGCGGGATTCGACCCCAAGTCTCTGCTACGACCAGCAGGAAACCGTACCAATGAGCTGGTTGGCACGTTGCAAAATCAATATTACTTTTTAAGCAGAACTAAACTATGACTAAACAAATCAAACTAATAGGAAATGCAAAAATTCGTGGTTTGATGTGTTTTCTCCTGCATCAGCTTCATATGACTTCACATCAAATTTTGAATATCTTCTCGGTTATTTAGACAATAAATCTCTTGTTTTTCTTGCTGTGCAATATCTAGGGCATTTTGGAATTTCCAGATTTGTGCTAGCCAATGTCAAAGCTTCACTTTCACCATTCTACAGTTGTCAGTAAATATCTTTTAAAATACCTTTTCACTAAGAAAGCATAAGCTGTGGTTTACACACAAAAAAGGCATGAGTTGTTTGTGTTATCTTGTTGAATAAAAGATAATATTTGGATAAAGAACTTGCAAAAGTGAAAGCTAGCTGGCTAAATTTCAGAATTTTTGAAGGGTGTTTTTAGAGCCGATATGATACCGTAAGGTACATCTGGTTTTCTGTGCCTGGGATATCAACCTTGAGTGCTATTGACATTCTTGGAGTGTGTTTCTGCAGTTTGAGTATGAATCCATTTTCAAGTGCTGCTACTAGAATAAAGATATCCATATTATTTTACCTTTTTGTTATTCTCATTTAGTTATTTCTAAAACCTGCCCATCCTACTGATTTCTAGGTTCGTGAACATGCAAGAAAGCTTTTGGAGAAGCACCTCAAGAAGCCTTTCTTCAGTGCAAGGTAAGTTTGGGAGGATAACTGAGATGGTCTTAGCTCATTAAGTCCGTTTTGATGTTTGAGTTGGTGTTAAAGGAGTACATATTTTTTTGAAAGACTAGGCATGGGTCTCTGTTTTGTTAATGAAATAGAAAGTTAACAAAGAGATTGGTTAGAGAGGATAAGAGAGAGAACAGAAAAGAAACTTGCATGGTTCTTTAAGTTGAAATTGGTTTTTTATAATGCCTTTCTACACCCCCTTATTTATACAATATATGGTTTTAGCTGAATTACACCTAAAATTATTACAGTTCCCATATGGAAGCATGAAGATGAGGAGCAAGGTGATCTCAGAAATTTGCCTTTTCTCCTAGGGATTGTCTTTACAACTATGGATATATGAACGATGAATATGAGTATCCTTCCCAAGGAGACCGTAACCTTATTTTATAAAGCATCCAAGATACTTCAGTCAATGCTTCTGATACTAGAACTCCATAAGAATTAGTGGTTTTCCATTTTGTGAAGAACATCTCTTCTACATATCTATTATTGTATTAAAATTGGTTAATTGGTATGTGGTTGATATTACATACTAAATGTCTATTAATGATTTCAAGGGGTAAACCTATTTTATTTTCCTGACTCAAGTTATCCAGATTTGGCCTATGAGGATAGAATTGTGCAGGATTAATCTCACTGTATTAGGCATTCCCAAACATAATTTTGTTTACTTAATGTTATATAGCAGATGGAAATTGCTTGCTTGTTTCACACTCACTTGTCTAATGATAGATATGGAGAATCTATGGAGCGGATGAGCGTTGAGGAATTGGAATTAGGGAAGGAATGGTTGAATGATACATTTTATCTCATACGGTGAGTCTGATGTTTTGATATTATCATCTTTGTTGTTTACTTTTCTTCTCTTTGTTTTTTCCCTTATGAAGGTTTAGTAAGCTTTAGAACTTTGGCCTGGTGAACTTTAGGATTGGCCAGCTGTTGGCAAGCTATACATGTGTGGTTTGAGACCTAATGCCAAGGATAAAGGGGCCCTTGATATTTGAAGAAAACAAATCTTTCTGCTTTTTCTCCATGGGATTGAATTAGGTTGAAAAAATAGCATTCTACATTACTTGGGTACTTAAATGAGCATAACAGTTGGCACACCATTATCAGTGTGATGAGATATTGTTATTGTTAAAGATTTTTTCATACCTATTTTATTAGTATTAGGCCAGAGTGTTTTTTCTTTTTATTTTGTAATTTTGCTTTTATTTCTGGATTATAAGTATTAGTAAAGCTGCTGAACGCAATCTTTTCTCCCTTCTTCAAACATGGTTTCTTTCTCTCCTATCGTCTTCTTTCTTACTTTTTCTAATCTCATAATACTTGTACAAAATCAAAGAAAATAAAATCAAGTTGGTGCCAGATGATGATCTTACCCGGTTTTCTCTCCTCTTTGTGCTCAACCTATGCTTCTAGGATCATAGGCTCTATAGAGATCTAACAATGCTGATCATTAGTGTTGAGAGGTTCAGCGGTCATTATATAATGGTAACTGATATAAGTTAATATAACGGTTGTATCCCAGATTCTGATCTTCATTTTAGAAGAATTTTGGTATGATTCTTGTGAAACTTTGGAGTTGTTGCAGTTTTTCTATAATTTTTTAAGAAATTTCTGTAAAATTACAAAATTCCTGGTTTTCCATGTATAGTTTATGGGATTGATCTGCATCTGGTTTGTTAATAGGGTTTGGTGTTTTTTGGATCATTCGTCTCTAAAATCAGTAGAAACTTTGCCTACCTTGATTGGTTAAGGATTGAGAATTAGGTACTAATTTTTCTATATCATATCTGTTGCCGAACTCTATGCAGGAGATTGAGAACTGAATTGAGAACAATGTTGATTCCATGAGTGATGTTGGGATAGTTTGGGAGCCTGTTTAAGGGGGTCTTCAATCTGTTTACTGTTTACGTTAGTGAGTGATTGGATACTAGTTAGTAGAAAAGTTTAGAAGATCTGTTTTGATATAAAATCTATGTAAGAAAGAAGAAAAGAAAGAGAAGAGAAGGTTTATGCAGAGAAGATAGATGAGAGAAATTGAAGAGAATGGGAGAAGCCAAAATTAGGTCTGGCCCCCCTTTTCATTCGGTTATATACTCACAAATAAAAAAACTGAATACAATGACAAGTATGCCCTTAGTAAGTCTGCTACTTGTAAAATCTAAAATAACACTCTTAACTTAAACATAAACTAATGGGCCTTGGGCCCAATAACTCCTTAACTATGCTATGTAAATAAAAACAAGTGATATCAGCCCAAAACTCAACACTCCCCCTCAAGTTGGGAATAGATGTCACACATTCCCAACTTGTGTAGATGATGCTCCAGCTTGATTCTTGCAATACCTTTTGTAAGAACATCAGCAAGCTACAAGTCAGATGCAACATATGGTAAGCAAACTTCTCTGGATGTCACCTTTTCCCTTATAAAGTGTCTATCCACTTCTATATGTTGTTTTATCATGCTGATCTGGGTTGTGGGTAATGTTAATTGCTGCTTGATTGTCATAGTATAGCATCATAGGTTCTTTGGTCTCAACTCCAATCTCTCATAACAAGGAAAGGACCCAGAGGAGCTTTGAAACATTGGGTGCCATGGCTCTGTATTCAGCTTCTGCACTTGACCTTGCCACAACTGTTTGATTCTTATTCTTCCATGAAACTAGATTACCTCCAACAAGAGTGCAAACTCCTGATGTAGATCTCCTGTCATCTAGGCACCCTGTCCAATTAACACTTGTATAAACCTCTAACTTCAACGGTCCATGGTCAGCAAACAATATGTCTCTACTTAAGTGTCTCTTTAAATTGGAAAGTGTCCAGTCAATAACCTCCCAATGCTGAACTTGTGGGGCATTCATGTATTGACTAACCACAATCACTGCATAAGAGATGTTTGGTTGTGTCAGACATAAATATAGCAACTGGCCCACTAATCTCTGATACCTTCCAACATCCTTCACTAGTTCACCTTCCGAAGCATTTATCCTGTGGTTTTGATCAATAGGTGTATCAGCTGCCCTTATCCCATGATTTTCTGTTTCTTGTAGTAGATCCAAAACATACTTCCTCTGTAAGATGAGGATCCCATTCTTGGACCTTGCCACCTCAATGCCCAGAAAGTACTTCAGCACCCCAAGATCCTTATTCTCAAACTCTTTGTGCAGGTTCTTCTTCAAGGTATCAATCTCACTCAAATCATTTCTTATGACTACAATGTCATCCATGTATACTATCAAAACTGACACCAATGACCCCCCTCCTTTTCACAAAAAGAGTATGATTAGATTGAGTTTGAGTATAGCCAAATACAACCAATGCACTTCTAAACATGTCAAGTCAAGCTTTGGGTGATTGCTTCAAACTATATAGAGACTTCTTCAATGTGCATACCTTTCCTTTATCCACATCATTGTAAAAGCTAGTTGGGAGATCCATGTACACCTCCTCTTGCAAGTCTCCATTAGGAAAAGCATTCTTCACATCAAGTTGGAAGTGCGGCCAAGAGTATGTAGCTGCTAGTGATAGAAAAATCCAGACTGAGCTCATCTTTGCCACTGGTGCAAAAGTCTCTAAGTAATCTATGCCATAAGTTTGAGTGTACCCTTTTGCAACCAACCTCGCCTTGTACCTTTCTATACTTCCATCAACCTTGTATATCACTGTATAAACCCATCTACATCCAACTGTCTCATTGCCATAAGGTAAATCCGCAATCTCCCATGTCTGGTTTTTAATCAATGCTTTCATTTCCTCCTGCATAGCTATCTTCCACTCAGGTTTGGAGAGAGCCTCACTACCACTCTTGGGTATAGATGCAATGAGCAGTACTAACACTTCCAATAGGAAGGAGATAATCCATTGTAGGAAAGAGCCTCACTAACACTCGGGTTTGGAGAGAGCTCACTAACACTTCCGGTAAGAAGGAGATAATCCATTGTAGGAAAGATAGTGTAAGATGCAAGGAGCAGTACACTTCCTCTTCCCTTTTTGGAGTTCAATAGGGAGATCGAGGTCATCTGCAATGGTGTTAGGAGCAAGGGTAGTAGTATCAATAGGAACTAAACCATCAGAGGAAACAAGAGGCATACCTAGGTCTGTGTTAGTTGAACTTGGAATCCCCAATGAGCCGATATGGAGTGACGTGGGCTCCTTTGTTGTGGAATCAACCTCCCTGTGTTGTCATAGGTGCTGTCGTGTAAAACACTGAGAGGTAGGATGCAATAGAGGTGGCAAAGTGGGGTGGAGTAGGTGGGGGTCAAACATTGGAATGGACAAAGGAGTTGGAGCAGGATGTGGTATAGATTACTCACTTCCTTCCCTAAAACACTCCCCTTGAGAAGAACCCCTTGTGAAAAAAGGTGTGGACTAAATAAATGTGAAATCCAAAGTAACATACCAACTCCTAGAGATTGGATCATAACAATAATACCCCTTTTGATTTCCTGCATACCCAAGGAAGACACACTTCTTCGCCTTAGGGTCCAACTTTAAGCAGTGATGACCAAGAACATGGACAAAGCATACATATCCAAAAATCCTTAGAGGAATATGGAACATCTCCCCCTCAAGTAAAAGAAGGCTAAATGGAGTGCTATATCCAAGAACACGAGAAGGCATTTGGTTAATCAAGAAAACTACTGTAAGAACTACATCTCCCCAAAAACGAATTGGAACTGTAGAGCTCAACATCATGGTTCTTGTTACTTACACAATATGTCTGCTATGCCTTTCTGCTACACCATTCTGTTGTGGAGTGTATGTACAACTGCTCTGATGGACTACTCCATGCTCAAATAGGTATGATGCTAGTTTTTTTTTCTCAACTATTCCCTAGCATTATCTGATCTAAACACTTCCACTCATACCCCAAACTACGTTAGCACCACTTGATGGAACTGTTGAACCAAACCTCATCACGAGATCTCGTGAAATATATCCAAGAGTATCGAGAACAATCATCCACAAATAGAAGAAAATACCGATAGCCACCCATAGAGGAAATATGGTATGACCCCACACATCAATATGAACAATATCAGAAACAAAAGAATATCTTTTATTGCTTTCTTTAAAGGAATGTCTACAATTTTTTCCAAGTTGGCAATCCTCACACTCCAAGTTGGACAAACTGACGGATTCAAACAATTTTGGAAACAAAAAACACAAAGAAACAAAAGACAAATGCTCTAACAGATTATGCCAAAACATAATCTGACCCATTGACTCTGACTCAATGTTCCCGCTGACATGATGACTCAGATGATTAGGAAGTGCATCAAGAAGATAGATTACATTCACCTCATGAGCATTCCCAATCGCCTCTTTGATTTCAAATCTTGCAAAACACAATGACCAGGAGAAAAAGTCACTGGACAATTCAAATTCTTTGTCAAGCTACTAATAGATAAAAGATTAGTGCTTAATCTAGGAACATGAAGGACAGAAAGAGTAGGGTAATGGTATTGGTTATCTTGCTAGACCTTTTCCCAACAATGGGAACATGTGATCCATCGGCTGTAGAAACTCTATCTCTGCCAGAGTAGAGGTGGTATGAGAAGATGGTGGAAATGTTGGTCATATGTTCTGAGGCTCCTGTGTCTATAATCCAGGGAGGTCCCCCCTTACCTGTAGTGGATACATAATTTGAAGCGGCATGTGAACTACCTGTATGTGCAAACAAAGTAGAATGGCTACCTCCTGACCACTTGTACCTTGTCGTCCACCTAATAATGAGTTGGAACTGGCTATATCCCTTTGTATAAAAAATTGCCCATATCTCTTGAATTTGGCCCTCACTGCAGCTACTGCAACAAACTCTAGAGAAGCTGTAGTAGGTGGTCCTGATAAATCACCAGCCACTACCATGTTCACATTTCCCTTTTTGTTTTTGAGCTGGCTCGGTATAAGGTGTGGGTAAAGCTTCCAACATGTATTTCTAGTAAGCTTAGGTTTCTTACAGTTCATTTCCACTCTTATCCCCACTTGGCTTAGGTTTCACTGTGCTAACCATAGCTGATTGCTCAAGGCCTGGGTTCCTCATCATCACATTCCTCCTACTCTTCTCTCCAGACACAAAGTTATATGTCTGAAAGAGAGAGTTACACTATCCCGAGAAAGAATATGCTGTCATGTAATGTCATATTTAGGGTTAAGTCCTGCTAAAAACTCAAAAACCTTATTCTTCTCTACCGGCCTCTAATAAGTTGTTACATCTTTGCTACTTTCACAAACCACAATCTCCAAATGATCTATTTCCTGCCATAAGGTTTTGAGGGTTGAAAATTAAATCGTAACAGACTTATCTCCCTACCTAGTAGCAATCACCTGGTTTCTCAATCGGTAGAGTCTAGCAACCTTCTCATTTTGTGAATAAGTTTCTGCTACTCTATCCCAAATTTCCTTAGCTATGTTAGCCCAGAAAAAGTTCTTACTTATATGGGGTAACATGGAATTTCATAACCAAGTCATTACCATGTAGTTCTCCTGTACCCATCGGGAGTAGTTAGTCTCAGGTTTCTTTTCTTCATTGGTGACATAAGCCAATTTCCCACGAGCTCCAATGGCCATTTTTGCATATTGTGACCATTTTAAGTAGTTTGTACCATCCAACTTGACTGTAGTGATGGTTCTAGCCCCAAAGAGATCTTTGACACCTCCTTCCTTGGTCCAATTTTGCTTGCAAATTTGTTTTCAACTCCACAACCCTCTATAACTCCCAGAACAGATTAGGAAATCAATTTGAGATGAAAAGAAAGAGATTTGTCTCCTTTAGAAACCTCAAACACTTTCCTAGTACCTTATAAGCCCCTTCCCCCAAAGATTCCCTTTTCTGTGGGAGTAGGAGAAGAAAGGGAAGATGCTGCCACTCCCTCCAAAGGCCTCCAAAAAGGTTGGGACTTGGAACCACCCTCTTTAGAAAAACTTGAGAAACCCTAAAAAACCAAAACACCACTTTCTAGGTCAAAATTGAAGAGTCCTAACTAAATCAGGATTCTTCCCCTTTCTCTAGTTCTTCCTGATTTTGGTCCTAAACCCTAGACCAGCTACAAGGGATTGCAAATCCACCAAAAAAAATCCAAAAACTAGGGCTTACCTGAAGTCCTCGATCAGTCCTTACCTCATCATGCAGTCAGTTGATCTAGGGCTGCATGATGGAACAACTCAAACAATCTCTAAACCGGCTCTGATGCGAAGTAGAAAAGTTTAGAAGATCTGTTTTGATATAAAACCTGTGTAAGAAAGAAGAAAAGAAAGAGAAGAGAAGGTTTATGCAGAGAAGGAAAGAGGAGATAAATTGAAGAGAATGGGAGAAGCCAAAATTAGGTCTGGCCGCCCCTTTCATTAGCTTATATACTAACAATTAAAAAACTGAATACAAAGACAAGCATGCCCTTAGTAAGTCGGCTACTAGTAAAATCTAAATAAACACTCTTAACTTAAACATAAACTAATGAGCCTTTGGCTCAATAACTCCTTAACTATGCTGTGTAAATGAAAACAAGTGATATCAGCCCAAAACTCAACAGTGTCAACTGTCTTAGAAGAGGTATTGTGAAGATACCTGGGTTATGAGTTTGATTATCTCATTGTGAGGAATTTTTTCCCATTAATTTATTATTGATGATGACTCCCTAAAGAAGTACGGGAATCATAGCTACATGGAAAGTGGTGAGAGTTTTTCCACACATAAAATTGGATGGTAGCAAGTTTTTGGAGTGAGCACGACAACCAAATCATCTTCTGGAGGTTGGGCAAATTGGGGCAGCTAACTTGGAAGGAATCAAGACTGCAGGTGGATGATCTATCAATGCTAGATGGGAACAAGAAAACAACCACTAGCATATTTCAAGCTTGCAAATACTAAACTCTTTAGATTAATACGTAAAACCTCATTGATATTTTGTGCATTTAGTCTTTTTGCAGGTAAATTAGCTTAACTTGTTTACTCTTTTTGTCGTACAGGTGTGAAGATGATTGTCTACCCTCTGTTAAGTGGGTACTTGAACTTGCCAAAGCAGTTGTTTTAAGGCATGGAGTTCGTGGACTTGTGATAGATCCATACAATGAGTTGGATCATCAACGTCCTCCAAACCAGTAAGCATTTAACTTTTGCATGTCTGATGTTATTTTCTTTCATGGTTTGGTTTTCATTGTGTAGGATTTTATGATATGAAAGTAAAAACATGATAGTTCTAGGGCCTTAATTGTTTGATAGTGGTGATATTGTGTCTTGTTGGCTTTTATTAATAAAATTGGTGTGTGGGTTTAGTCTTCTACAGACTTATCATTGAAGAAGTTTGAAGTTTATATATATATCACTGACTTGCTGGATGAGGACAGATTTAAGTCTCTACTGAAGATGAGTTCATTCAGCTATCTTCCTAGTACAGTGTTCTCCCTTATTCTCTTCTCTACCACTCTCTCTGCGGAGAATCTGATTATTTTAATTTTCTAATCAATCATACCTGTAATGAGCAGATTTTTGCGCATTTGGAATAATGAAAGCTTGAAATTCTTCTAGAAAAATGCAATCACACTGTTCCCTTTCACTATAGCTACTACGACTCTTTAATCTAGATCTGTTGTGCACCAGAAATTGCAGTTTGATCTCATCTGTCTAATGTTCAGTTTTCTCACCTTTGGGTTTGGCAAGACTGCAAAACTAGAGCTCTCTGCATCGCATATAGGGGGGGTGCAAGACCCGTTAGGGTTTCTAAAACCTCCTGCCTGCACTTTGAATCTATTCAACTACTTGCTACCAACATCCCATCCAAAATCTGCCTCCCCACCACAAACATGATTCTCATCCATCTCCCAATGTAATGTTACCTTGAACATTAACAAGAAGTTCTCTGAAAGATTCCAAATTGCTTTGATGGAAGTAAAATGGAAGCCATCTGGACCCATCGCTATATCTCCAACTGTCTCCTTTAAAGGTTCCTTAATTTTTGCCACCTTAAATTCTCCCTCAATCAAATTAGTTGAAAATTCACTAATCTTTCTAGGCTCCATCTCCCAAGAGGAACCCGAAGCCAAGGTCTTGCAGAATAGAGGTTCTTATAAAATTCCAAAACCTTCGCTTGAATTTCCGTCCAGGTTTCTGTCATCTCCTCCCTCATTTGTATTATTCTAATCAAATTCCTCTTTTGAGCGTTTGCCCTTGACTTTAAGCCAAATTGCCCTTGACTTCTACCTCCAACTCACCTTTTCCCTATAAATTAACCTCTCCAGTTCATTTTCTAACCCATGTTTTCTAATTTTTTGTCCTAGAAACAGTTTTCAAGGCACTAAGGCGAGGCTAGGCGGCAGGGGGGCACCTTGTACCTAGGCAGTGGATTCTTTTAAGTAAAAACCATATATCCTAGGATAGTTCCTTAGGTTCCATAATCATATTTCCTTAATAATTATCCACAATTTTCATATGAGAAGTAATAACTTCATGTTGAAGTCTAGAAATCAATATATTTATTTTACCTTCCTCTTCCATTCTGCTAGCCGTTTTGCCAAGACTCCCTTTTCCTATTCTACACATTACTGAACACCTCCTTGTTCCATCCCTTTATTTGCCTCCTTCTACAGCTGCAATTTTCATAACAGTCTGAAACCTGCTGATTCTTTCACTTGCCAACTTCCCCATTTCTCTTCTACCTAACCCAAGAAACTAGGGTGCTCTAGCCACATATTCTTAAATTGAAATGGTTGAGCTTCAGACATAGCAACATACATCCTCAGTAAAATAGGCACTTCAACAGTCTGTCTCTTTTGATCACTAGGCCACTCTCCCCTTCCCGGGCCGAGGCCCCCCTCAATGGTTCTAAGAAGGAGGGCGGCGTTCGTTCTTATTGATTTGATTGAAGGGAACTAATACTATTAGCTTAGCTAGCGTTCTGGGAGAATCTAGTCATTAACCATTTCCCAATCTGCTCCTGCAGTCACCTATCAAGTCTTTTGAGAATGGGAAGGCATTAACCATTTGACCAAGTGTAATGGCCTCCACTTAAAGGGTGGGTTGATTACTCCATTCCTTTCAATAAATTCTCCAAACCTTCTCATTCCCACACTCATTCTTCTGTCTCTTCCACCCCTCATTTCACTCACTCTTCTAACCACATTGAAGTCACTCCTCAAACACCAAGGACCCTCCCACAAAGATCTTGTCGACAGTTGCTCCATGTGGGCCTTTTATTTTCAACTATTTATTTTTTAATAATTTTTATACTTGATGGGCCTTGGACCATAGTTGCTTTATGTTTATTTTTAGTGTTCTTTAACAGCCGCCCTTCTAAGGGCATATTTGACGTGTAGTACATATATTTTTGATAGAAGTATATACACAATTTGAATGGGGTGGCCCAAAACTTTTGGTTCCCCTTCATTCTCTTTTGTATACCCCTATGATGTCCAATACACATCGCCCATGACTATTCAAAGCTTTACGAAAAGAGTTAGCCTCACGCATAGTTGCGATGGCCTGTGACGTCTCGCCTCGCCACAACAAGCCATGTCATCATTCGCCAAGACATGTCATCACCCACGAACATTATTTCTAACACGTGACCACGAGGCCACCACATTCACTTGAATTCAAGGCCAATCCTCCATAGATAGAATAACCCATTGGGTAGAAAGGAAAGATGAAATCCAAGAAGGGTATTAGCAATCGCCTATCATTCAAAAGCTCCAAAACCCCACCTCCTCAACCATAAGATGGTAAGGGCGCTTTGTTTAGGTCCCAAAGAAAGTCAAATAGTGCCAAGGGAGACTCATGAGGCTTTCTACAAAAATAGTACAATGACATTCTACAAAAGGCTGTCGCGATTGGTGCATACTCGTGGTAAACAAATTTGAGTGCCTCATTGTGGGTGAGGCCGACTTGAGAGACACTTACATTGCATATCTAAATGACGGAACATTATGCATAGATACCATACTCAAGAAGAGGCTAGTCTCTAGAATTAAGAGATTCTATCTGTAGGATAGGATGCTCTATCGGAAGTCCTACTTTGGCCAACCGTTAAGATGCACTACAGGGGATAGAGTAGAGCGGATACTTGAAGCAGCCCATGATGTTGAACCAGCCATGCACCAATTACTGGTGGCCCTATACAATCACGTACTTTGTCTAGGGTTCTGCTGGCCTACTATGTTAGACGACACCTAGAAACATGTTAGGAAGTGCCATACTTGTCAAATACATGGTCGTCGCATCCATCTGCTAGCCAACGAACTCATTCCAACATTGCACCCTAGCCTTTCCTCACTTGGGGAGTAGATTTGATAGGCACAATCAACCCGACATCAAAAGGGTATTGCTTCATCATTGTCGTACAAATTACTTCACCAAGTGGCTCGAAGCCGTTCCCTTGAAATGGATAGTTGTAACGAATATATTCAACTTCTTGAGGCAACATATCATCTATTTCTTCGGAGTACCATGCGAATCCTGACGTACAATGGTCTCTCCATTAAAAATCAAGAAGTTCATGACTTTCAAGGGCAATACCGAACATGGTTGGGAAAATTGAGGCAACCAATAAAACACTCCTGAAAATGTTGACCAACATGGTGTAAGAGAATCAAAAGGATTGGGTTGACATCTTGTCTACCACATTATGGGTTTATAGAACATTCATCTGGAAAGGGACACAAGTACCTTATTCCCTCGTCTACGAACAAGAGGCCATTTTACCTGCTGAAATACAAACTGTTTCCGTGAGGGTAGCATATGTAATGGTGAAACAGTTCAGCAAAAAGGACATGGAGCAACTCCTCTGTAACAAGCTCAATACCATTGATGAGGTTGTAGAGAACACTGATGTGGGCCCCACTGCTATGGTCCCCATTGTGTTCGTATGGCAGCATATTTTTGTTAGTTATGTTAGTGTTAGTTGGTAGTTGTAATCATTCATGGAGAGAGAGAGGCAAGAGAGAGAAAGAGAAGAAGAGGAAGATACTATTGAGAGAAAAAGAAAACCTACCCCTGGTTGGCGCTAGTTCATTACTTATATTAACTTACTATAAAAAGAATGGAAATTACAAGTATGCCCCTGGCAGTACTCCCTAGAAAGAAAGAAAATAACTAATTGACAACATCTTAAGAGGACAACCCACTAACAACAACTATAAAATAACAATTAAATAACCCTCACAACACTCCCCCTCAAGTTGGGCTGAATATGTCTATCATGCCCAGCTTGTCACATAACTCATTGTGCCGCGAGTATGGAAGCCCTTTTGTGAGGACATCAGCGAGTTGTTCCTT